AAAAAAAAAAACTCAGATTTGGTTTGGATGCCATCCCCATGCACTTCATGACTAAGCTTTCTTATGCAAGTTACTTTAGTATCCCAAAGTTTCATTTTCCCTATCTGCATAATGGGTTTATTAAAGATTAAAGGGTTATATGTAAACTACGTACTGCAGTACGTGGTTAATATTAGGTACTCAGTAAGTGGTAGTGGCTCTTTGTACTATTCCAACATAATAATGGGAAAAGTACAAACACTGTGCAGGTAAACACCAGGCTCTAATGCTTAAAATCTGATTTTTGTTTGGTTCTTTGTTTTGTGTGTCCCTTGGGGAACACATAGATCTTGAGAGTAGAATCCAATAAAGGGAGAAAGTTTTCAGGAGAAGAAACACAATTCTAAATAATCCTCCCCATCCTCCTTTAATAACGAACTTGTCCTAACTCTGAACATATTTTCATGCTTTAAACTTTCTCTCCTTAGCTACTTAGCTCTTAAAGTGCCTAAAAATCAAGGTTATGTTTGTAGAATCTTTTAAATCAGAAGAAAAAGTGTGTGACTATATGTGGCCATTCAAATAAATGGCATTTCTTAGCTAGGGAACCACCTATGACCTTCACCTCTATTAATTTTTATTTGAAATTGAAATGCTTATTATGAGAAGACTGAATTTGAGCTAAAAGAATCTCACAACTATAATTAACTATATGGCCTTGACCTTACAAATTGCTCCTGTGTTTTCTCTCTCTCTCTCATTAAATGATGACATATTCTTCTAGAGTCTACATAAGAAAAACTAATCACTGAGATTTATTTCATTTCTCATGAGAAAACTTTACATAAGAATATCAAAAGCAGAGAACTAGAGCAGGGAAAAATTAATATTGTTAAAGAATGTTCTATATTTGCCAAATTTCTTAGCTCCCCTTTGTACAGAAATGGAAGACATTATCATATTCTGGCCTTTAGACTCTACTTTTTTAGACTCTGTATCAATCACTCAAATTTAAATATTTTATTTGAATTCTAGGGATCCCTCAATGTAGCATATTAAGTATTAAACATCCATGCTATTTTACTACTGGATTTAAGGACTAAAGATGAGTATTAATATAAGAGTTACTTTGCTCATCATTTATTTAAAATATCTATAAGAGCCCTAAGATTGATTCCCCTTTTCAATTACAGATAATAATTTAATGTATTTTTCTCCATGTGCTAAGAAATCTTTACCAATAAATGAATGATTTCTAACATAAGGCTACTTTCTTCATTATCTAATAAGATAATATTAATCTGTAACTACAACATCCATGTGGTATCAGTAGGAAATAGCAGATGTTGAAAGATTCAATCTTGAGAATTAAATACTGTCATTCTTTACAAAATTATAACTAAATATAAATTTGTAATTTAACAAAGAAAAAAATTATTCTTTGTAAAGTGCAAATACTTATAATACAATCAAGACATTTGTAAATGGCACCTATTTTAGATTCCAACATTCAATTCTAGTGTAAATTTTTTTTTAAAAAAAGGCCAAATACCAGAATAATTACAAAATATTTCATTTTATTAATAATTTATATACAAATAAATTAGTAAAAATAATTATGTTACATTTGTACACTAAATTTAAAACCTACAAGATTTGGATGTAATCAAAAGTAGCTAATCAGATTAATTTTCACAGGTCAGCTCTGCAATTTCATCTTCACTATCAGAATCTTCATAAAATGAAATTGTGGCTTGAATTGGAAAATTTTTCAGAAGAGCTTCTGCTTCTTGATATAAGTAATCATAACACTTTGATTTTGGCCAAAATAGTCTGAAAAAAGCAGACAACATGTTTTATTTTTTCACATTCAGAATCTTTATACTCATGAAATGGTCAAATTTCAAGAGCTCCATATATTTAACAATTGACTTATACATTTAGATATAGCCTTAAGATATAGAGTTAAAATATGCTAGTATCACAGCTTTCATGGAATATACTTGCCAAAGTATTAATAACTGTTTGATTATTTTAAATCTTTATTCAAGCTCTAAATTGGATCAAATTCACACTAAACCCTGGATAAGCATAAGATCAGTGTTTAGCTTACTTTGTGCATTATGGATATATTTATTCTTATAATGTATAGAAGATTTTTCTTCCAGTTTCTAAATTCCTTTGGAAAACATAAATTGAATCCCTCTACTACATTAAAAACTTTTACGATAGCCAGCTTTATAAAGATGACAAAATACTATGCACTTTACAAAAGGTGGAAATCACCTACTATCTTACTTAAAACTTACAGATTTAACTCTTATAGAAGTAGACAATGTAAGTTTAGAAAAGTATAAAAAGCAATATTTTTAAAAAATTTTACCTATCCACTCACGGCTTGAGGCATAGAAAGACTACTTCTGACCCCAGCTTTGATTCTGTCTGCCTCTCTTCTCCCTATTCAACTAAATTTGTGAATATCATATGAAATATTAAGAAATTGGATATATTTTATACAAATAACTGGCATGTAAGTATAATTACCTTAGAATTAAAAAAAATCTGACAAATCCTAATCTTGCCTTCTGGTCTTCATCAAGGAAAACAAAGAGGAGAGATAAGGAGGAATCATCAAATACAGTACAGTCATTTTAGTGCAGGGTAAACAGCCCATGCATCCATACAATGGAGTCATTCCAACAAATGAAAGATTATATTATGTTCAGTATGTTCCACTTTAAAAGGCAGAAAAACAATGTAGCTTATAAATGTTTCCAGCAATAATCATAAAAATTAGTTCAAATTTTTGATGCTTAAACTAAGTATCAATTATTCAGTCATTCAATAAATAATTTAGTGATCCCTTGTGCCAACATAATTCATAATTCAAGGATGAATAAATCATGGTCCCTACCCTCAAAAAGTTGACAACTGCATAAAAAGAATAAAACACACCATAGCAGTCAAGATAGAAATGAATAAAAATAAAATAAATATAAAAGCACAATGAAATTGTAATCATACTTCAGGAAAGAATTTCTTATATAAGAAACAATTTCTTTTCTAATATGTAGCTGGAACTAGCAAATCCAAAGAATGCTGTTTAATTATTATGATACTCTGTCCAGAATTTCCCACTGTGGGCCATTTTTCTCCCAGGGTCTCTGAGATTCTTCCTGTTCTGTTCTCCTCAGTCTCTGTTATGGACCTCTCTTTCTCTGCATACAGGTAAGATGCTGGCCTTCCCTCGGGTTTTTGCTGGGAACATCAGCCCTCCTTCTAAACAAACTAAGATGACCTGGCCCACTGTCATGATTTTCCCACCCTACAGTTACAATGGACTCCCAAGTCTGTATTTCCACTTCAGATCTTGACCCTGGGCCCCTAACTTACGTATGCAGCTCTCTACTGGATATCACTATTTGGATGCTTCACAGGCACATTAAATATAAGTGGAAAACTTGCCCCATGGTCTCACCTTCCAAATCTGGTTTCAGGCCTAATTTCCATTCTTTTAGCATAGCATTCACCTGGTCACCAGCCACAAACTGAGGAGCCATTCTGGCTTTTTACCTCTTCTTCATCTACCATATCCAATGCATTATAAAGCCTAATCTATTTTGTCACCTAAGTATTTCCTAGATTCACCCAGACCCATCCTCACTTCTAGTGTCTTACAATGGCTCTTCATCATTTCTTACCTGAAAAATTGCAGAACTTCTAGTTTTACTTTTGATGTCCTGACTAAGCCTATATAACATATAATCCCCAAGACTACCTTCAGAATAAGGTCCATGGGTTCCCAACACCACATACAGGATCAGGACAAAACTGTACGAGAGTGCACAAGATCTGGCCTCTGATTACCTTGCTGAAATGACCATAACTTTACACACCTAAACTCCTTGGAGTTCCCACAAGGAGCCACACTGTTTCATGATCCTCTTTTCCAATGCTATTTCTTCTGCTCCCACCTCCCATTTATCTGACTAACTTCTCCAAGACTCAGCCAGGTAACCACAACCTATAATAAACATTTCCCCCACCCTTCCCCCTACCACTGACAGATTGAGGCACTTCATACCCTGCCCATACTTGTAAAACTAACCAAACTAAACTCCGTTACAACTGCCATGTGCTGTGACTACTTTTTCCTGTGTCCTTCACTAGTGCTAGTACATGGTAGGAAATCAGATGTATTGACTTCTACATGGTATTTATGACCACAGGCATTTTACAAACATCGTTCAGCTCTTCATTTAACAGGTCTTGGAGGCAGGAAAACTGCAGAATTATTAACGTTTCACCCTAATAAAAGTGACAAAGAATCTTAAAGGCTGACTTCCTATGGCTTGGAACAGTAAACTAGCTCCTCATGTTAATTAACTTTTGACCTTTTCTATGACCATCCTCAGTAATCTTTAGGATTTTCATTACATTTCCATTTTCTCTTACAGGGCAAACTTGATTTGCTGTAAGACTGCAACTGTTAATCCCATTCTTACTTCCCAATTGCAAGACAAAAGCAGCATACACACTGTGCCTGATGTGAAGTCAATTTCATTCCGACCCTTTAGGATTTAAAAACAAAAACTGTTTTGCCAGCACAAGACATCACTGCTCTTTTAAAACTATACCATCCACTTTCGCTCTTCATAATATATTCCTCAATCGTTCATTGAGCATGTATTGATCAAAAGTCCCTTTACGTGAGACCGTGAGCCCCTACATTTTTCAATTCGATGAGTAACAGATCTCTGCGAGTGGAAAGATAAGTAACCTTGAAGATAGGTTTTCAGAGAGAGAGACGGGGGGGGGGGGAGAGAGAGAGACTGCTGCAGGACAAGCCGCGGAGCTGGGCTCTGAGATGCCGCTGGCTCCTCCCTTGGGCTGGAGGAGCAGAAGACCTTCAGCGAGGCCTGTCACTCACCTGACTGGGTGTCTGAACTGGGAAAGCTTTCCTGAGCCTGCTATCATTCCAGAACCATTGGACATCTGGAGAGGAAAGGAAGTGAATCCAGTTATCACCCACCTCCCTCTAAAAAGTAGCAGCGTGTGTGACCCAGTGTTCCTCGTGCCCGTTGGGAACGTAACCCCAGTGCTCTCAGCAGCCTCGCTCCCCGCGGGTGCCTGTGGCCCACCGCTCCTGAGGACACAACCGCCGCGTCCGGCACTGTTTTGGCCACTGGCAGGCGGGATATTAAACGAAGGCAGGGCCGGTGTCCCGCACGTCTCTCTCCGGCCCCGCGTCCCGAAATCCATGGTCGATCTTCTGCACCCCCGGGAAGCGCGGCCTGAGACGCCTGGCTCACTCACCGCCTCCGCGGCGTGGTTCCGCGTCTCCTCCTCTTTCTTGCCTCGGGCGTCCACCCAGGGTCTCCAGAAGCCTGCGGAGCTGCGGGATGGGGAGCACAAGGCGCGCAGAGGAGACGTCAGCCCAGACCCGGGAGAAGCCTCGGAGGCCGAACACTGGCACCGGGGGGTGGGGAATGGCGAGTGGAGGGGAGGAGCTGGAGAGGCGCAGGCGGGAGGGATTGGGGAAGCGGGGAAGCGCAGAGCAGTGCGGAGGAGCCTACCCGGAGTCCGCGTCCCAGCGCCGCGCCGGACCGTCGGGGGCTGCGCGCGCCGCAGCTCTGCTCTCAGCGTCCTCTGCGCTCCCAGCGGTCTCCATGGCGCCGCGGAGCTGGGCGGAAGGCCGCTGCCTGCTCGCGGGCAATCTTGGCCCGTTCCAGTAGATCCAAGACCCGAGCTTTATATAGTCCTTGCAACCTGCCGCACATTGAGAGGTTCGCTCCCTCTCCGCCCCTATCTCCAGTCAGCCGCATAAACAAAAAGGCTGCGCGTGAAGGCGCACCGGGCTGAGCCCAGGGTGTGAACGCGTGCAACTCCCAAATGGCCCGGGACGGGATTTTGTTCAGCGAATGTTAATCGCCCTTTGACACATAGCTGCGGTGAAAAACAACATTCGCCTGAGCATCCAATTTCCTTGTGAAGAGGCCAGGAGGAGATGAAATTAAGCGAGTCTACACGTTTTGTGTATTTCTTAAAGCCAAGTGACTTGGTTAATTGCTTGATTCGCTGGAGACTCAGGACTTGGCCTGTGGCCAATCAACTCGTTCTGCATCCCGTGTTCTATAAGCTGGGATGCAGACTCGAGTTCAAAGGAATGGTCTTAATTCCTCTTCCTGGAACAGTTTTTTAAAAAATGGGTGAATGGATGGACTCCTTAAGAATGTCGGGGTTTTTTTGTTTTGTTTTGTTTTTATGTATTGATAGACTAGGTTCATATGCCAACCTGTTATTATTTGAAGATAAGAATCACTGTTCTAAGAGAGCCAGAGACTGCACTCGTGTGATTTGGGCCTATGGCTCTAAATTATCTTCTTGTCTTCTGTGTTTTTTCCAACATTTATCAGTATCCTTTTGCAATAACTTTTGAGTTCACCTCTGAACTCAAAAGTACTGAAATGTACTTTTGAGTACATTTCTGTCACTACTTGGTATTTTCTCACTCAATGATAATTAGAAACTTCCTTTTTGGGGGCAGGTGTTGTGGAAATCTTGGAAAGTTATGATATAAATTAATCAAATGTCTGCATCCCTGTTTCTCTGATTTGAGTTACAGTGAGGGCACTTAACTACCACTAAACTTTGTAAAAAGTGTTATGCATCAAAGGAAAGATGATATGTAAATGTTGTAATTTTTTTCAAAATGATTTAAATAAGCTGAACTTTCTCTTTAAAGTTTAGACAACCTTGATTGTAAGCTATAGTTGTCTCTGCTATTCATTCAGCTACTGCATAGAAAAATAATTTAATTATTAATGGTAGCTAAGGGCCTGTAATGATCTACCTGCCAGGAAGGTAAGATTTGGGTTGCTTCTGAAGAGAAAATCAGTAAGGACAGATACCTAATGCATGTCTCCATCTCTTACACGATACCTAATGCATGTCTCCATCCCTTACACTTATTGTTAGGCCAAATAAAATAAAGCTTATAGAATGCTTTTTGCAATGTCTGACATAAGTAAGCCTTCAACAGATTTTAAGCTATGTAAAAAATATAAGCCCTTAGGAGGTGCTAAGCTTTCTGATAAAATGGCTTATTATTTCTGTTCCATAATGTAAATTAGTTCAATCATTGTGGAAGACAGTGTGGTGAGTCCTCAAAGATCTAGAACCAGAAATAAGATTTGACCTAGCAATCTGGGTATATACCCAAAGGAATATAAATCATTATTTTACAAAGATGCATGCGTAATATTTGTATGTTTATGTTCATTGCAGCACTATTTGCAATAACAAAAACATGGAATCAACCCAAATGCCCATCAGTAATAGACTGGATAAAGAAAATTTGGTACATACACAGCATGAAATACTATGCAGCCATAAAAAGGAACAAGATCATGCCTTTTTCAAGGACATGGATGGAGCTGGAAGCTGTTATCCTCAGCAAACTAATGCAGGAACAGAAACGCAACCACTGCATGTTCTCACGTATAAGTGGGAGCTGAATAATGAGAACACCTGGACACACAGAGGGGAACAACACACACTGGGCCTGTCAGGGGTGGGATGGGAGGAGGGAGAGGATTAGGACAAACAGCTAATGCATGCTGGGCTTAATACCTAGGTGATGGGTTGATAGGTGCAGCAAACCACCATGACATATGTTTACCTATTTAACAAACCTGCGCATCTTGCACATGTACCGCAGAACTTAAAATGAAAATAAAAAATAAATCTTTTTGAGGTGGCTGCAATGTTCTAAGTACTGTGCTTTCCAGATAAGGACAGTAAGATACTCCTCCTTTCCTTGAGAAGATTAGAATTATTACAAACTATGGCCACTACAATAACCACATAAGAAAAAAAAATTAAAAGTGACACATTCAATAGGAAAAGCACATTTTAGGCAGATAGGAGGGAGGGACTTAAGAAGTCTGTTTGGGACAATCAGGAAAGCCTTCTTAGAGTAAATAAAATCTAAGTTGAGATTTCTAGAAAGATTACTCAAAGAATAGTGTTGTCTGGGTGGTGCAGGAGTAGGAGGAAAAGGAACTGGGTATCACTGGAGCAGAGATGCTGAAGGGATAGAAAGGGTTTGAACTATCAAGAGCCTAAAATGCTATACTAAGTCATTTTGACTTTATTCTGTAAGCACTGGTAAAAGATTTTAAGCAGGAAAGTGGAATGGCATTTTATAAAAATCATTCTGGCAGCCATATGGAAAATGGATTTAGGAAAGGCTAGAGATAGGAAGTCCATTTAAAAGGCCACTGTAAGAGTCTAGGCAAGAGATAGTCAGAAGATGTACACTAAGAATGGAGATGAAGGGATAGAGTTGAAGGTTACCTGGGAAATAGAATCTGTAGAACTACTTGAGTCATAAAATCTAGGTGGACATGAAAGTGGAGTCTGGATATAGTCCCAGGTTTCTAGCCTGGTTAAGTGAGTAAATGGTGATGGCTCAAACACAGACGTAGAAAACAGGGAGCGTAGGATAAAGAGCAGGTGAGATCCTCTTATGTTGTTTTATTCTGTTAATGGTGTGCAGGAATAAAAATAATGAGCTTGGTTTAGAATCTTAAATCAGTCAGGATGGGCTGGGTTACATGGTGGTAACAAATAACTCCAAAATCTGACAGGCTTAAAATAGCAAAGGCTTATTTTTCACTCATGCTTTATATCCATTTTTGGTTGGTGGGAGGTCTATTCTACATCATCTGTCTTAAGGATGTAAGCTGATGGAGCCTCTTCCCTTGGAATGTTGGCAGTTTTCATAACAGGGAGAAAAGAATAAAATCATTTGTGTACGAGGTTTTAGAGGTTTCTGCCTAGAAGGGACACACATTTCACTGGCTAAGACAAGTCACACAACACACCAATTTCAAAAAACAAAGAAGTGCAATTCTACTATGTGTTTAGAAAGAGGAGAAACAGAAATAAACAACATATAGGAGTGCCATCATCTGCCCTTCTGGCAACTGAATATTCAGTTCATCTTCCTTCCTATATGTAAAATACAGTCACCTCAGGAAAAGAACTCAGAATGGATCTAGGATTTTGGAAGGCTCAGTAACATGTAGGTGGAAAGATATTCGGGGGACAACCAGAGATATGAGGTCTGCAGTTTAGTAGAGAATTCAGGGCTAAAGATTTAAATGTGAGAGTCATCAGCAAAGAAATGGCAATTAAAACAATAGGAATTGATTGGTTTTCCCAGGTAAATTTTGTAGCTTGAGTCCAGGACCAAGGACAGTAGCCTAGAGATCAACATTTGATTGTAAGGTGAGAGGGTATACAAAATAAAACAAACAAAAAAAACCCATCTCACTGAAAAGGAGTGGTGAATCTGGTAGAAAGTGGATCAGTAGGCCAGGCACAGTGGCTCACTCCGGTAATCCTAGCACTTTAGGACAGCAAGGTGGGAGGATCACTTGAGCTCACGAGTTCAAGACCAGCCTGGGCAACATAATGAGAGCTCATCTCTACAAAACAAAATTTAAAAAATTAGCCTGGCATGGTAGTGCATTCATGTAATCCAAGCTACTCAGGGAGCTGAAGCCAGAGGGTCACTTGAGCCCAGGAAGTCGAGGCAGTGAGCTATGATCATGCCACTGCACTCCGGCCTGGGTGACAAAGCTAGGCTGTGAGGAAGGAAGGAGGGAAGGAAGGAAGGAGGGAAGGAAGGAAGGAAGCCAGGAGGGAAGGAGGGAGGGAGGGAAAGAGAAAGTGTTTCAGTAAAGTAGGTGTGGTGGAAACATGGGATGAAAGAACTCTTCAATAAAGCAGGAGAGGTCCAACACAGTCAGGGCTACCAAGAGGTCACATAAGATAAGGACAAGTATTAATTGGATTTGGCAACATAGCCCCTTATAAGGAGTTATAAGTGACTTTAGAACAATATCGTTTGACTGTATAGGGACAGAATCTTTTTTTTTACAACAAGTTGAGTGATAGATTAGAGGCGAATAAATCAAAACAATGTGTTGAGCTACTCTTTTGAGAGGAAAAATAGAGGGAGAATGCTGGGTCCATAGAGGAGTCTTGTTTTTAGGGTGCAAAAACAAAAGTATATTTATAAAAGGAGAGGAAGCAGAAGAAGAGATGCTTCGAGAGAGGCGGGTGCTAGATGATGGTTCATGGTCCCCAAGGAGGAAGGAAATGAGATCAGTAGCCCTGAAGAGAATCCTCATAAGACTGGAGCATGTAAATCAGTGATGATTATGTCTGGGAACTCCCAGGAAACAAGCTTAATCAAGGTGACTAGCTTGGCTTGGAGAAGGAAGGGTCTGCTGTAATGATGAGACATGAAACTGAGTGAATATCAGTTGTTTTGAAATTGTAGAAAAAAAAAAAAGAATGCATTACTGGAAAAAAAGGAGAACCAATTAATAAAAATGTGGCAAGAATTTTACTTGACCAAATTTAAGTAAACTGAGAAATATAAATATAAATTATTAGGAAGATCCTAAACCTACCATTTATACTTTAGTTTCATGTATGCTACCTTTTTTTTTTTTTTTTTTTTTTTTTTTTTTTTTTTTTTTTTTTTTTTTTTTTTTTTTTTTTTTTTTTTTTTGAAATGGAGTCTTACTGTGTTGCCCAGGCTGGAGTGCAATGGCATGATCTCTGCTCACTGCAACCTCTACCCCTGTCACCACGCCTGGCTAATTTTTGTATTTTTAGTAGAGACTGGGTTTCACCATCTTGGCCAGGCTGGCGTTGAGCTCCTGACCTCATGATCCACCCACCTCGGCCTCCCAAAGTGCTGGGATTACAAGCATGAGCCAGCGCACCTGGCCTATGCTACCTATTTATACAGATCTTGAAGCTGATTTCTATGAGGCCAACATCAATGTGATATTTTTCTTTTAGGTTTTTGCATTATTTATCATTTCCATCAAAGATAGGATTTCTTAGCTAAATTATTAAGGAGGATATTAACTTTAAG